TTAGTTTTATCGATTTAATTATTTTACACGGAAATGCTATAAAATATCACATGCATGCTCATCTCCTTTGGGGACAGATGTTCCTTAATGGGAATTTTCTTTAAAAGGGGTTACTCATAAAATGAATGCATCTAACAATTTGTATACTTCTTATATGTAGAATTTAGAAGGATTTTTCCAAAAACCAAAAACATTCTCAGTGGTGGTTTTAATTTGCTATATCACTCTGTACAGTTAACATGAAGATATTAAAGACATTAATTGGCGGGGTTCCTGCTCGACAAGTAGCACTTGTCAATTTGTTCTCCTTTTCACGAGTAAAACTGTTTTATTTTTAATCAGCATTGACGAAAAAAATGTTCCCGAGAAATATACTGATAGTATTTTATTAACATACAATTAGCTTAATAAGTATGAATACCGGGAGATGTTGGTATACGTAAATTAGACGGCAACAAAACGCAAAGCATAACTAAAAGGCCATCTATAGAGAATTATCCGAATTACAAAAAAAAAGCCAAACTCCATACAGCGTTATCGTTCGGGTCATACTTCCCTTTCTCTACAAAGAATTGTATCATTATGTCACCACTGTTTCAGAGTATGAAAAAAAGGATTCCGTATGACATACGACAACCATTGACAAGTTATCAGATTTTGAATGCGTAGTGCGAACAACTAATTTTATGTTTTGTCTTGTTTTTGATTGTGTTGTTTGTTTGCAGTATTATAAACTTTCATGATTTTACCTTCCAACAAATTCAAACCAATTCGATAGTTTGCTCAGAATATATACAACTTAAAGTGGTAAACAAAAATATGTGCCTGTTCTAATTGTTGCCATCAAAGTTTTTAACTCGATTCAAGCTACAGTTTTCGAGGCAGATTAATTAAGTTTTACGTAAGACATACTCGGGAGGACTATATATCTTCTGTAATAGCTTTTATCCTGCAATCAGCTAACTATTGTACAAATAACAGGTACACAAATAAATTTTTGCTTTATTTGTACTTGTACAAATAAAGTCTCCTGTTACTCCGCTTCCATGTTGATATGTGGATATTTCTTTTTGCGTACCAGTTCATTTTGGGGTCCTCTTCGCGGTCCACGTTCAAACTATGTCGATTTCTTAGAATAATTAGAGACAATGATTTAGATTTTAACAACTAAAGCTTCAAGTTTTTGGTGTAAATTTCAGGATAAAAACAATATATGTATGTATATGAATAAAAAGAAACGTAGGATAAAATCCAATGATCAGCAACCAAATAACACAATCAACTAAACATAACAGATACTTACTCTACCCAAATGATTTGTTTTTAAAGATTTGATCACTGTTAAATTGACTCAGTAATGATATGCATCCAGATTGTAGAAGACGTGGTATGTTCAAGTTTCGTTTCTAGACTTGCTTTTTGCCACAGCATTATGGGAGAATTGATAAGGACTTGAAAACAAATATGGATGTAGATGAGAAACTAGATCAATCTAATATGATAAAAACAATTAAACAATCAATAAATCAGCCTTTTTTGCTGCTGTCCTTCAACTTGATGGATATTATTCTATGCATGATGATTGAATAGTTTTCAATTCACTACTTATAAACTTTCACTTTAGCAACCACGCAAAATGACGCATTTCTCTTTGATGTTATTATTCAACATCGCTGCATATATCTTGATAGTAAATACGCGACAGTAAATATAAATTAATTAAATGTGGTATGGTTGCCAATGAGACAACTATCCATCAGAGACCAAATGACGTAGCTTTTAGCAACTATAGGTCGTCTAACTGCCTTCAGCAACGAACAAAACTCAAAAATCGAAAAAACAATATGATATACAGTAACAAACGACCATCACTGAATTACACGTTTTCGGCTATACTTCTTAAGTGCAGCGATACATATAGCAAATGATATTTCAATTGATGACAAACTTGTATTTGTAGTATTTGTATTTTTATCCATCTGATGAGTTATGCCTCTTTCAACTGATTTTTATAGTTCGTTCTTATGTTGTACTGTTACACCACTGTCCCAGCTTAGGGGGAGGGTTTGGATCTCGCTAACATGTTTAACCCCGCCACATTCTGTATGTATGTGCCTGTCCCAAGTCAGGAGCCTGTAATTCAGTGGTTGTCGTTTGTTTATGTGTTACATATTTGTTTTTCGTTCATTTTTTGTACATAAATTAGGCCGTTAGTTTTCTCGTTTGAATTGTTTTACATTGTCATTTCGGGGCCTTTTATAGCTGACTGTGTGGTATGGGCTTTGCTCATTGTTTAATGCCGTACGGTGACCTATAGTTGTTAATTTCTGTGTCATTTGGTCTCTTGTGGAGAGTTGTCTCATTGGCAATCATACCACATCTTCTTTTCTATATTGGCAATGCTAAACTTATATGTGTTTTTTTATGATAAACTGTATAACATGCATACGTGTTTTCTTTTATGATATTTACATTAAATTAATTGATGTTTATGTACAGGATACCAATTTTGCAGGATGTTCATGTAATATTTTGATTTGGGTAAAAATCATAAACAATACCATGCTTATAATTTGGTACGTCAGACGCGCGTTTCGTTTATACCAAACCCATCAGTGGCACTCGAATCAACACTTTTAAAAGAGTGCATTGGCAACTAACAAAAGTTGTGCAACATCCCGTCGAAGAATGTGTTTTACTTTTTATTGTTAATTTTTACATTTATCATTGAGTCAAATCTGTTAATGTATTGGTTTACCCGAGATAGTCTATCTGTCAACAAAATGCACTGAATCGTACTGTACATGCATGAATGTACAACGTTGTAGTTCAAATTTTATTGTTGATATACTGATATCAGACAAATTATAATTTGAAGCTTGAATCTATTTGATAACAGTCAATTACGTAGGCCTTCTGTTTTCTGTTATGTGATAAGATTTTGCATTAAATTAATTGTAAAATTCAAAAGACTGGTATTGATGTAGAATCTTATCCAAATTATATAATTTTATATTTAATAGTTTAGGTTGCATTTCTGAAGAAGGTACAATTCCGTTTTACATAGAAAGTCTAATACACCTTAAACTGTACCACTTTTAATAGTTTGATCATTCGTCTTTGCAAAGGTCAAAATGCATGTAAGGCTGTGATACGTCCTGCCATTACAACTTTTTTTAAATGTTGTGCTAATTCAGAGATGTCCCATGTAAAGGCTAGGGTTTCGTGCTCATAAACAGTGTTAAGATAAGAAAATATGGTATGATTGACAATGAGACATTCAGACTACTATTCACTGGAGTTCAAATGACGAAGGTAAAAGCAATTATAGGTCATGGTACAGCGTTTAACAATGCGAAAATTTCATCCGTATAGTCCCCTCAAAAAATTAAAAACAATTCAAACGCAAAAAAACTGACAGCCTAATTTATACAATACAGTTTACGAAACAAATATGACAGACATGAACCAACGACAACCACAGAATTACACGCTCCTGACTTGAGACAAGCGCACACAGAATATGAGTTCAACATTTTTGTGAACGCTCATTCCTCCCCTGAACCCGGGACTGTGGTGTTACAGCAAAACATGAGATCAAACGGTAAAACATATTTTCAAATGGCTTAACAAGATTGATACGATGCACAAAACAATCCAACTAAAATAAAAACAATAGACACGAAGCACCGATATAAGAGTATTCGCAGTTACTGAAAGCTAGTTCAAAGTGGGGTTCGTATTGCCTAGTCTTTACTTTTCTTTGTTGTGTCATCTGTACTATAACTTGACTTTTTATTTTTGACCATGGCGTTGTCAGTTTGTTTTCGATCTATGAGTTTGACTGTCCCTCTGGTATCTTTCGTCCCTCTTTTCAAAGCAAATTACAACAAATAAATGAATCGTGCTTTCAAAGACCAAGAATCAATCAGTAAATATCAAACGGATTTAGTGTAAAGACGGCATAAACAGTGTGAGAAACGCATGCCCTTGTGCAATGCTAAAATATATGTAAACAGTTTCGATAAGATGAAGGATAATGAGTACTCGTAGCTGTATATATTTAGCATAACAAAGATTTTACTTACTTACTCTTATAATTGTAATTAATTAGTTTTTGTTTCAAATGATCAATGAGTTTATGTGGATCGTATCTAAATTTACAAGCTCTTTAAACAACATTACCGTTAAAACAGAATGTGGTATTCTGTTGTTCCCGTACAGCCAAACTTTAATTTTAACCAACCCGGACAATCATCAAACACAACCTCACACTGATAACAGTAAGGAAAACTGTTATTTTAATGAGGTTCATGATTCACACAGTTGGAGAAAACGTAGGTCAACTTGAACGAAACTTATTTTGATTTGTCACAAATTATTACTTATGTGCTACTTTTAACGATGGTTATGTCCCAATCGTCATATCCCCAATCCCGTCCTTCATTTCCCCGAATGTGACACACCGAATTATTATTATCACCGGGTTTGTACTTACAGGAGTAATACAACAGGTGTCACATATGAGGCAGGATCTGTTTACCCTTCCGGAACACCTGAGATCACCCCGCTTTTTGGTTGGGTTCATCGTACTCAGTCCTTAGTTTTCTATGTTGTGTTTTGTATACTGCTGTTTGTCTTTTGGTCTTTTGGTCTTTTTCTTTATTTGTCATTGCGTTGTCAGTTAATTTCCGACTTATGCGTTTGAATGTCCCTTTGTTATCTTTCGCCTCTCTTTAACAGAAGATATGTATGTTGGTCAGGTTTGTTTTCAATTTACGAGTTTGACTATCCCTTTGGCTTCTCCTGGCTCTCTTTAATGACGCATTTGCAAAATTTATTTCACAATTATGTGGCACCATTCCACCAGAATATATCTTAAATGCAATATGTTAAGAACAAGGTACATTATCTGAAACCTTCATCGAAGTTGTCAGTTTAAAAATATGAAAATACATGGAAGGAGGAATGCCAAGTACGATTTGTAGTATTCATAAAACTAAATTTCAAGCTTTTTATTTGAAGAGTAAATATAAAAGAAGTAATAAGTAAAATACACCAATTCTACATTGTGGAAGTCCGACTCCGCCATTTCATCTCAGCCAAATTCTTCAAAGATTGTCTGATTTGTAACTTAGCTAAAACACTGGGATTATGCAGTAGTTTATTAAGTTTTTCTTTCTTTTTATTGTTTATCTTAATCTCCCGGATAATTGTATTGAACGCATGTGCTACGTCTGTATAACTGTCACTTGCAGATGTGTCAAAAGACAAACAATTGTATTCGGCACAAAATTGGGTTGCTTCTGTGTCAGATACTTGTTTCCGGTGAATAAGATCGCTTTTATTTCCAATGACGGCAATAACCTTTTCTTCTCCTTTTTTGGCTAATATCCACTCCATTATTACATGTAATTTATCAAAACTTGATTTGTCAACCATTGAATACACTAAAATTAAACCATCTGCCCAGAGAAGATATTCGTCTTTCATGCATGCCCCGTCCTTTAAAAGAAAATGAATACACTGTCATATAAGTTTTCCATTATTTCAAACTCATTGTAGCTGATTAACTATATATAACCCCAGATGACAATGACAATTTGCGATAAACCATAATCAGTTTTAATGTGTGTTGAACTTTTGAACTTTGAAGTCAAATTTGAGTTGTATTTAGACTTGTCGATCTTAAGAATTCATACGTATCAAACAGCAAATAAAAATTGCAAAATATGTCATGATTCCACAAAACAAAACTGTTCATTATTGTTTTTAACAACAATTCAAATTTACGTTCAAAAACGTTCATTTTACGTCAAACAATAGTACAAACATCAAATTATCATTCAATCCCGAAGGGAATCTCTGGCCAAAAGGATCACTGGGGTGCTGTAAAAGCAAATTTATACAATATAAATCAAATGAATGAGTGAGCACAAAACTTGATTTAAGTTTCAAACATAAAATTCCAAGTATTAAGTGTTGAAATCATCAGTGTTAGTAATAGTAGCACAACAACTTTGTCTCTTTGTAAGTTCTTTTTTAACTGAGTAAGGTACTAAGGATTCAAGACTAACAGATTTTTAAAGTTTGCTCCTATGTTGTAAGGGGAAGGATAAGCACTCACATGCATGTTCAACCCCGCCCGTGTATTTAGGTGTGTCCTAAGTCGGGAGCCTGTAAATCCGTGGTTGGCGTTGCTAATGTTTGTCTTTTTATGTTCGTTTATTATTTTTTTCCTATATTCAGTCCGTTGGATTTCTCTTTTGAATTGTTCGTATTTTTTGTCATGCCTTTCTTGGCTTACTATACAGTTCGGGTTTTGAAATTATTGAAGGCCGTACATTGTCCGATATTTGTTCACATCCTCGTCTTTAGGTCTCATATCGACAGTTGTCTGATTGATGAACATACAGCAACTCCTAACTCCTTTGTGCGAGGGGATTAACTGAATGCAACCTTTTGATAGGCAATCTTTAAAGAAATAGACCTATTATTTTGTAATCCTTCAAAAGACACAGGCTATATATTCTAATAGTGCATTTTGTCTTGCACAAAAAACATTGACAAAATCAGTGCCTTACCTTCCATGCAGTGTCAAGTATGTGAACACTCAAGGCTTTACCATCAATCATTATCACATGAGAACAAAGTGATTCTAAAAAAGAGTAAAAGTAAATACTATAAATTATATTTTTTAGTTTATATCCATTATGCATAATTGACACAAGGAAAACAAAAATTTGTACCAGTTTAAAACGCTGAAATCAAAATTCCAAAATAAAGATTATTTGATTTATTAAAGTGTTGCATTTTTTAATGAGAGAGAGAGAGAGAGAGAGAGAGAGAGAGAGAGAGAGAGAGAGAGTTATAATCAGCGTAATCATCAGTATATTGAGATGTAAGCCCTAAGGGTAAATGTGATACTCGACTAAACGGTTTCTTGTTAGAATGTTGTTGCCTTTTGAAAAATAATTGATCTTTGAAAATTAAATAGTAATCTTTAATTAATCAAAATTACCATATGTTGTGAACTGTCATATATTTTTCCTCCGAAAAAAAGTTGGGCTATGTACGATAGCATATTTCCTAGGCTTACACTTTTGGCTAAACGTGTCATTGCACCGAATTTGTATCATCAGAGCAATTTTTTTAGTTTTCAGGACTGGTAATTACGTAACAAAGTTCAGAAACCGACACTGTCCAGAAAAAAATGACAAGATAATATATCTTGATAAGAACAAATTCGTTGCAAGTTTTTGAGACCCTCATAGAAAAGTTAACCGCGTCAATAAGTTCTAATCATCGTCCCTTTGGTAATCATAAAATGTGTATTCTTATCGATTACCAAATATTGATGTTTGAATTGGTTTGACTTTGGTATAATATTTCAATAGGTGTTAATTTATTTTTTATTTAAATCTATTAATTGCATACATAGTGCATGTAGTAATTACATTGAAAGTACCAATTTTTCTGTACCAGATGCGTATTTCGACAATTAATTAATATTAGTCTTCAGTGATGGTTTTGGTTGAACTATTTGAAAATCCAAAGCTTATTTAAAAAATGAAGAGATAATAAACCCAAAAGGACAAATGAGCTATCAATTATGGTATCAAATTCCCTGAACTATTAGATGATTCATTTGTAACGTTTATGGGTTTACGTCCATCAGACAACGACCCGCAATACGTATCAGTGATATATTTTTGTATTTCTATTTTGTAGATATTTTCAGAGCGAGTACTTGATTATCGCTCGGTAAAAGCAATAAATACCCGATTAATGATTCGTCGTCGAGTTGACATCCCTAATTTACAATTTTTCTGTTTGTTTTTGTTTTTGTTTTTTGTTTGTTTTGATTTTTGGTCGTACAGCTTATTTCGCTATTTATCAACCCTGGTTTTCAATTTTTTAAGTTTAAGCGTTCCTTGTGAAGGTAAAACCAAAAAAGCACAAAGGACACACTAAATCTATTAATTGTTATTTTCATTTACTAACACGAGGCCAATAGCCTTGCTCGTAGACTGCCAGTACTCGAGGGTATCATCAGCTCAATAGTCAGTGCTCATGTACTGACATGCTTTAATACACTTTTTATTAATTCCCGTTTGGAATTTTAGAAATTATTCATAAACTAAGGTTTCAATTCCCTCAATCAAAGTTGATCTGAGATAAATTGTGGCTATTCTTTTCTGTTGTCTCTTTTGGTCATATAGCTCCTGAAGTGTTTAAGTGTGTATCATTTCTAGTTTTCTTTTTTTTTTTTCGGATTGAACGTTCCTGATGGAGGTAAATACCGAAATGCTTCTGACGCTAGAAATGTATTAAACGTTATTTTCATCTGTTTGCATATATGTACAGACATATATGAAGTGTTTTTCATTTTTATTCGTGCATTCGGAATGAAGAAATATATTTGGAGAGATAATTTTGATAAACAAATCATCACCAAATTAAATTCGAACTGACCTTACTCATTATATTTGACAAGCAATTTATTTGACTATAGGAATCGTTCCTTGGGAATTTAATGCATCATAAGTATATTAAGAAATTCGGTCCATTTTGTGCTCTTGTCCCGTGTGGGTGTCATTAAACAAATTGTAAAATGCTTTTCGTTTAGAAAAAGTTCGTTTTGTATCTTCGACAGCATATTTTGTTTTCACTAGCTGCAAATATCGTCGGTAAACAACGTCATGTTACTTTATAAAATCTATTCGAAATTCAGATGAAAACAATTGCAGTGTCAATCGAAAAGTAAAATCAAATGGTTCTTACTCATTTGAGTTAACTTTCAATAATATTTGATAAGTTTGTTCCAGTATTTCCCAATATATAAATATGATCAATACCGAAAAGTAATTTAAATAACAGATCGTATTTCAGAATAAAGATTTATGATCAAATATACATTAAAACTCAGTGTTAATTATACGCGATATAGGTCACTGTGTTCTTTTTCGAAAATCGTAAGGAGCCACTTTTTTAAATATCGTACAGATTATTAAGGACATAACAAAACTGGTTAATCATTGTCGTTTTTGACTATTCTAACAAATTGTTTTTAACTTACTACATCATATGAAGGTAAATCCCCCCCCCCCCCCCCCCCCGAAACTAATTAAACACATTTGAAAAAAAAAGTTTTCCTGGACACAATCATAAATTCTTTGTTTTATGAATAAGTCTGCAATTGAAAGATGTTACAAATAAAGGCAATAGTAGTTTACCGCTGTTCAATAGCTATAAATCGATTTAACTGAATTAACTTTAATCCGGGTGACAAACCCAAACTGAGGGAAACACATCAACCATAACAGGAAACAAAACGGAACAACAGAAGAACTGGACTGCTACAAAAACAGACGCCAACATACATAAAAACGGACAATGTGATAATAATTGCTATATTCCTGACTAGGTACAGGACATTTTAAGAACAAATGGTTGGTTTTAAAGATGTCTTTAAAATATTATAAAATGTTTGACGGAAAACATTAACCATTAAATACCAATAACGGTTTGGTTTTGTCTTAAAGTTTGCAAATTAAAAAAAAACATGTGAATTTGAATACTTATACAAACATTAAATCTAAATCGAACAACATTGTTGAGAAGGAGCGGTAAGGTAATTTTGAACCTTTTTAATCTAGTCAATGGACAGTACTCATTTGTGTGGACGTTAAATATATACTTAATTCAATTATTCGACACTTGTTTTGAAATGGCCATTCTGATTTTTTTTAGACTAATCGTTATCGTAGTAAATGCAAGAGTGCATGTTGTAAATGGAATCTCTTGTATATATATATATAACTTTTCTTTAGATTAAGTATGATACGAGAAAAGTTAATCATTTAATCATAAAAACAAAATGGTTTTATAATTACACTCCAATTAGCATAATAACATGTCTGACATATAGGAATAGAATATTTCTTGCGTACAGCAATGTCTGAATCAACTAGTTGTCAGAACCATCACAAGAACTTACTATATATGTCAGCTCGACTAAACAAAACAATGTCGAAATGACAGAAGACACAAGAGCGAATATTTTGTGCGTCATTACATGCAATTACTTTGGTCAATGTATCGGTTGAATTTCTGCACACAAATAACGTCAGATAATCATCAAATCACCCATAGCTGCCCAAAAAAACAGTTTAATATTGCATCTGATACAAAACTTTGACAATGCGTCATATGTTAAACATTTTCGTAGCAAGTACGATTTCCTCCGACGCCGTTTTTTTATCAAAAGTACATAAAACAGTATATGTTCATAAACATTAGTATTTCGACCATGTAGGGGTTAATTCACTAAAAAAATAATCAGTCTTCTCTTTCTTATCATGGACCGCCCATTTGGCGGAGAGCTTTCTGTATAACACTGAAGTCCTGCGCTCTTCTGATTGGTAGATAATGTGTGCAATAAATATTTGTTGGTAGATGGATCAAAACTAGAGTTATTTTCTTTTTTAAATTAATGCTGAATGCACTTAATTCTTTTACTACAGGGTTGAAAGGTAATAGTGGTCTATATAGAAATTCAGTGCGAATCTACAGTGTTTGTAAACAAGGCCATGTGAATGCTCACAAATGCCGTATGACCCTATATTTCTATTGTCGCAAAAACTGATTTCTACAGATAAACAAGTTATAAATTAAATTTAAGACATAGATTTACGTTAAAGTCAATGGCAAATTTTACTGAATATACCCCTATAGGTATTTTTAGAATACATTCTAAATTCCTTCGCAGGATCAAACAGCTTGATCTCCGAACCAAAATCGGCACAATGTAGTTATTCTAATAAGAAACATTAATATCAAATTACTATCAAGGTTTAGCAATTAAACTGAATTGGTTCTCTCTCGTTTTATAAAAGAAACTGAGTAATGAGAATATAAAAAAGAAGAATTGGTATGATTGATAATGAGACAACTATCCATCAGTAAAGATGAAGATCATAAGATTCACACGATGAATTAGACCTCATTTACATAGCCTACATTGTTTAATTTCCTTTTAAGTTAGTTAATGTCTACCATATCTAATGTAAGAAATATCTATTTACCCATTACAAATGCATTATTCGTTCATAAGATAAGTCACATAACATTAGGTTTTCAGAAATCTCTTTTTAATGACTACAAATTAAACAAGTGTGCAAAAACAACATTGCAGGAAAATATGATATAAGAGTCTTCTATGTATTGCAATAATCCCTGGGTATCAGAGTCAAAAAAGTATGTGCTCATACATGTAGGAGCAAGAATCGCTTACCAGGCTAACTTTATGTTGTTCTGATATTTATTTTCTTATGGCTATAATGCTGTTAGTATCTCCATCGACACTATACAGTTATCGACTTTTGAGAAGGTTGATATCAAGTTTTCTAATCAAACCCAGAGATATGATATTCACCAAAGACAACCACCGAGGGTGAATATCATATCTTTGGGTTGATAGATAATTGCACCAACTGATATGAAAAGTCAACAATTGCTTTATTATATGACTTTATTATCCATCTACAAGTTTTTTGTATTTGCTCTTAACGAAATATATCTAACTTCTCTGTGTTTTTATATTACCTAAATTATCTGCTTTGGCAGTTGCTCACTTTTTTAAGTTGGAATACTAGTATATGATTTTATTTTTAATAAAAAAAGTAAACAACGAAAAGAGGAAAGAAGAAGACTACAATTTCCATGACGTCATAAACCTACGTCGTAGACGTTACCTTAGAAAATAAATATTTAGGTACACGTTAGCTGTTTCATATCTTATATTAACCTATCATGATTTTACCCGCAGTGAATATAATTTTTTATCAAAGACTATTCACTATGCTTATAGCTAATGATAAAAGAATAATAGTCATCTAAAAAATCATATCGATCTTCTATCTTTTAGTCTGAAGATTGAATGATAACCTGAAATACTTCATTAAAGCAACAATTCTGTTTATTTACAAAAGCACCATCTCTTTCAATGAATAATTGATTGATTGATTGCCGTTTCCTTTTAACCAAGTTACAATGTCATGCATATTCAAAACCCGAACAAATTAAACAATAAAACAACAGTGTAATTTGGATCCGCATAGCGAGTCGATCGAGATAAAGGACGTAAAAAAGGACTGCAATAAGAAAGAAATACACGTGCGACCTCTTCAATTTAATTGCATTGTTATATTTTATGTGCCTAACATGGATATTTGAATTTATTCACGGGACGTGGTTTCTTGGTTTCTAATAAACAGTAAAACCAACACCGCTGCCGGTGTAAGAGAAGATTGACTGACCATATTTTTTTCAAACTTCAATGGTACGGACATTCATTCAACCTTTCACTTTTAGATTTATGAATACATTTTCTGTCTTTAATGTCATTTTTGCTCTTAAAAATGATGATTCAGATAAAACTAAAAATCCACCTTTCCAATATCCTTAAATAGAATTTAAATAGAGTATTTGTACAAATAAAAGAAAGAAAAAGACAATTTAGTGACGGAACATGGTTTCGTTTATATGTTCCAGACTATATAAATATTTGGACCATAAGCGTATAGCCATGACCATATGCGTATACTCATAATGTTATTAACAGCCAGACCATATATGTATTTAGATCATATAGGTATTTTTAGCATAAATTCTAAATTCCTTCGCAGGAGCATACAGCTTGTCTCCGAACCAAAATCGGCACAATTTAATGACTGAAATCCTTAATTTTGGCATATTTTCTGTATTGTCGTGTATCTGTATCCTTTGCTAAAGTCAATTTAAAGCGCCCGTATTATGTCAACTTTTTCGTCCGGAAATGAATCCTCAGATATTTTTTTTTTTTTTTTTATTTCTTCTTATTTCAACTTATTTTCACTTAAATGTTGCGTCTTTGTTCCTATTCATACGATCTTACAGTAACAGTAAGAAATACGTGATGCACCTCTAATCCTATTTTCTAAATAAGAATCGAGGCACAGAACGCATCATCTACTCTACTGTTATAATAAGAATGTATGAATAGGAGCAAAACAAACTAAATCACTTAAAATAATTTAAAAGTTTTACGACATTTGAATTTATTAAAATCAAAATGTATACACTAAAATAATACTAAATAAAAAGTAAATTCAATGGCCCAAGTGCCTGTGAGTAAGACAGTTCACTTATTGTTAAGCGGCTCATTTATATATTTCTGGAAGTATTATGTTTCACATCTTCGCTAGCCAAGGGTTACGATCCACTTCCCTGCTCTCCACCCTTGGCGGATTAAGATAGAATTTCGGAGACACAAGGTAATGATTTTCATTGGTTTCAGTCGAAACTCGCTGCATCCAATCAAAAAGCGCCTATAACATGATCACGTGTAAATGTAGAAAGTGTATGTAAACAATTGCCACGTGCTTATTGTGCAACAAGTCTTTACCTCCCTAAACATACGACTATATTTAGTGACAATTTGTATGTTTTTAATCAACTAATAGAAGTTCCTGTGTATGTTTCTTGCACAAATGCATGAATGTAAACGTATATTTTCGTTTCTTGCTTTACCAAGTGTATAGAATCTAGACGCTACCGTGTTTTTACCTCCAAATTGAAGAGTTCAAGTGCTACCATTGGTAAAGAATAATGTATTCTGAATGGGCGTGACTTTAATCTACCGATAGATGGTGCAACATTGTTATCACAAATGTTGGCTTAATCTGCCAAGGATGGAGAGGAGGGAAGTGGATCGTAACTCTTGGCTAGCGAAGATGTATATTTCAAAGTTGACATATTATTTTTCGTAGAGAAAAATCGATATTGATCATCTAAATATGCTTTTTCTATAATTTTAACGTGTGATTAACATTCACATTATTTCATTAATTATGTTTACAATTATTAATTAACATATTGATAGATAAGTCTAATTTTCATTTCACAAACTCTTAATTTGTGACAACCGGAAGTGTCATACTGATGCAGTTTACATAATAGTAACTTTTCAACGTTAATCGTATTATTAATTACCCGGACCATATGAGTATATACCCATAAGGTCATGACCATATGCATATGGTCCAAATACTCATTTAGTCTGGAACATTTATAAATCTGCAGAAAAACGAACACCACTGCCGGTGTAAAAGACGATTAAGTGTCCATACCTTTTAAAACTTCAATGGTAAGGACATCAGTTCAAGCATTCACTTTTAGATTGTATGAATACATTTCTCTAATGTCATGTTGTTTTCTGATAATTCAGATAAAAATCTCATACTTTGAATTATTAACTTTTAAAAACACCTTTCCAATATCTTAGTTAGGCAGATAATTTAAAAAAGAGTATTGCTACAAATGAGTGAGAGAGAAAAAAAATGGTGCCACCTTGATTAAGTATTGTGTTGTATAAATCCGTCAAAATTTGACAAAAAGTAGTGTAGGTGCTTTCTACAAAAATCCAGGTTTGTTTTTTAATGTACAAGGTATAGTCAGTAATGCATTATGGTAAAGTCACTGTAGGTTATTCCCGAGATTAAACTCGTATATTTATGGATGCAGGTTTGTAGCATAACAATGCGCTGATTTATTGATATACTTTACTTACCATGTTCAGTTTCATAGTCACCAATAAATCTTTTAGTTAAATATCGAACAGTAAGAGCTGCAATATAAACAAAAAATAAAATGGTGAATAAAACGTTAAAAAGCATGCATATACAGATTTGATTTCTAAATATATGAACTGTTTCAGTTTGTTTCATTTGAAAAATAACATAAATGTATTCTATCCTTACATATAGGTCATAGGTGTTATAACAATTCGCATTTTTAGAGCTTTAAAGATTTCTAATATGAAGGTGTCAATCATACATCTTAGGTGTTAAACGATCGACAACACCTATCAAAGATCAATAGTCAGATAGTTTCCTAAACGTTTGCAGTTTATGATACATTTGTACATACGTAGAACCAAATATGATACGTACAGAATACATGGTAAGACTTCGCACTCTACTATAAGTCACAAATACGAAAGTTTATGAACTGAGAATTTAAAATTACATACTCAAAGAAAAAAAATAGTATGATTTACCAGGTAAACAAATGCGCTTTCTTTCAGTGTATTACTAGCTGTTCTTGCTTGACAGAGAGTAACTGTACTAGTAAGACTGGTTTATTAACCTAAGTGTATTGACATAAAGTCCAGTAATGAAAACCTATTGTACTACCTAGAATTGCCCTGCTACTAGATAAACTAGTTAAACTACAAGTACAGTACATTTATTTTGGTTGACAATTTGTTAAGGGCAATGTGTCCCAGATGACTACAGATATCTTCCAATTGTGATAACCAGTCCCGTCCTCTTTTTCTTGATTGTGAGATCTCTAAATGAAACGTATCACCAAATTTGTGCTTGCCACAATTAACACGACAGGTGCCACTAGTGTATCAAGATCTGATTACCCTTCCAGCACACATGGGATCACCCCCAGTTTTTGGTGGGGTTAGTGTTGCTTAGTTTTTAGTTTTCTATGTAGTGTTTTGTAAACTAAATTGTCATATTGTCGTCTTTCATGTTTTGTTGTTTGCCATGGCGTTGTTAGTTAATCTCGATATATAAGTTTTGAATGTCCCCTTAGTATCTTCCACCTTCTATTTTACTGACAAGACAATGGAAAATGATAATCCTTGTAATTCAATTGGAATAATTGATTGAATGATTGATTGCTTATTTGAGTTGGATTGATATTGATATATTAAGAGACAAACATTTATTAATATTCAGAACAAAATCAAATTAGACCTAACAACTACAGGTATTTTATTTTCGTTGACCTTAAATCTTAACTAAACGACTATCTCATTCAAATGTCATCTTCACACTCGCAGGACCTGGTATGAGACAACAACTTAACATACAAAAATGCGAAAAAAATACATTCAAACTATTAGGAGTAAAAGAGAAACAACAATAAAACAAACAAATCGTTTTGTACATTAATCATATTGATGGTGTACACTGTGTTATTGTGCCAATACATGTGCAAATCTTCTGGCGATTACATCTAACAGTAACGATAATGACCTTACCAAAAATTGAATCGGCGGTCACGACACTGCGGATAATGCCCTACATTACAACGATGCATCACAGTAGCATGAACTGATGATACAAACGTATCATATAAAAGTGTTTTTATTGATTGATACTTAATTACAAATTGTTACAGGACATCTTTTTGGTGTTGACCCTTATATGTCTTTTATGTAGTTTTTATGTTTCTTATTGGCGTACAATCTACGCGTCGTCAATATTCTTTGGTCCATACCTTCATCAGTGGAGATTTCTATTCCGTGATTTCATAATCAAATATTTTTCTGCTATATAATTCTGCACTTAAACATTCGTGTCTCATCACAGTGTAGAAAAGACCCTTGTTATATATCAGCACTAAGGAAAATATATTATTTTGACTTTGGTATAATGCAGAGTGCACGTAATAAAAAAATCTCAAAATTTATTAAAACCTATAATAACCAGGTTCCTTTGATGTTTTCGGATAAGCTCTACTTCATCTTTTTTTCTGGATTTCTTTACACTTGTCACCCCTCGAAAAATAGAGCTAAATAAATCAGGTTTGCCATCTTTTTAACACAAACTTTAATTGTGCTATAAGATAAACAAGGCCATTGTTTTACATTGCAGTGTTATTTAGGATCAACATCCCTTTAAATTAAATATCACATTGTAAGAATAAGCTTTTAATATTGATCAAATTTTTTTACAGCCCGCTACCGCTTGGGGATGTTCACGGTTGTAAATTCGTAACACAATAATCGCGTAAAGTGAATGGTTTACAATATTTTCACGTGTCAGTGTTCTAAACGCCGGACATCAAACTAATACATGATCTGTGATGAATAAAGCAAATTGATATACCGTATTAGGCTAATTTGACTCGTACTTTTTACTATAATCTTACAAGCTTTCCTGAATTGCTAATAAAAATAAGAAGATATGGTATGATTGACAAAGAGACAACTGTCCACCAAAGTTCAAATGAAGTGGATATAAGCAATTGTAGGTAACCGTATGCCCTTCAGCAATGAGAAAAACCCATAACGTATAAAGCTGGTTGTGTTTGATTTGTGTATCTAACTGTGTGATACATTGTATGGTTTTCATTATTAGCAAATAATCAAAAAACATTTTATAGTTGAGACAATCCCAAATTTACATAAAACTTCAAAGACAACATCTTGAATATATGACACATTTCATGTGAATGTCTCTTTAAATATATATTGTACTGCTTGATCAGCTTTCTGTCTAATAAAAAAGTTAATAAAACGAATTATGTGAGACTTTAATACGTAATGCCAGGCTGACTTTTTTATATTTAATTAAATTAAAACAAACCAATCTGACAAACGAAATATGAATAGATGCTAGACAACAATCCATCGACACAAAAACCAAAAGATCCCATAACAGCAACACAGAATCTTCAATGATATACAAGTGTCAAAACATAATCCTGCATTTATATACATATGGAAGAGAAGAGGGCTGACACTTGACCTTGAAGCAAATTAATTCTTACATCATCTTAATTGATACATCAGAAACAAATATTACGTAATATTGACTGTTTATTAGTTAAATTAATTGAATATGACGCAGCTGTTCCTTGTCAAAAATAAAAGTAGGGTAAATAAAGGTATACAAAATAGTAACATATTTCTCTATGATTTTTCTAATAGTTTCTAATTTATTTGATAATGATATGATTTATGTAAATTAGGACGAAGCAGATAACCATCTATAATGTCAATCACGTGACATCAATAAGCAAGTTCGATAAATGTATATGACTCAAAGTCCTTTCCTCTATGTTTGTGTTGGTTGTTTAAGCTAATCGTCAAATGAGCAAAGAACATCAAGCCTACTTCTCAACAACCAGTTCGAACCAGGTTTAACAGTGATCAATTATATTAGAGGTAAACTATCAAATTAGTACTCATATTGTATTTATTATAATACGTTATCAAAAACTGGTGAGAGAAATGATTTTAATTAAATTAAACATGTAAACAGTTTAACATTTTTTTTCCGAGATTTAATGGTAACATGCTCATACATTATTTGGGTTAGATAATTTCATGAAGGCTGTCAATTTTTTGTAAATAAACATCCATGTATGAAAGAAGCAGGTGTAAAATTTGATAACAATCTAATTCAAAACTTGCATGTGCATCTGAGAATGATTCATATTTCGCACGAATATTGTTATTGATTAAGATTATTATTTTGCGATCGTATGTTCGTCGTGCATCATAGGCCAATGATCGATACAGAAAACAAAAAGAAAACAAAACAAACAAACAAAAATGAATTTACTAGATTTAACATCTTGTTTTCCTTTGGGGACAGATATGCCTAAATGGGTGTTTTTATTTAAAAGGGATTACTCATAAAATGAATTCATTTAACAAGTTTTATTTTTCTTATATGTAGATTGTAGAAGGATTTTTCAAAAACCAAAGAAATGCTAAGTCGGGGTTTTAATTTACTAGATTACACTGTACATTTAACATACAGACACATCAGACACGTTATTCTGAATTCGAGCCACAACAGTGTTTTATTTTGCTGATAGTTTGTCATAAATACAAATTCTCCATTAAACAAAACTAGAGGCACTAAAGAGCCTGTATTGCTCACCTGCATCTTCAACAATGGTTACTTTTAAGTAAAAATCATCATTAAAAGGGTGTAACTCTATCAAGAGTTTTACTGACAATTTCAGTCATGTTCACATATTTGTAGATCTTGTCGTGCTGATATATTTTTTGTTTTTTATATTTTTTCAAGATAATAGGCAAAAAATGTTAAAATTATCATTAACAGGCAATAACTCTCATAATGAGTCAACTGAAGATTTCGGCCATTATGACTTATTTGTAGATCCTGTGGTACTGATAATTTCTGCCTTTAAAGATTGTCTCTATCTATTATATTTTTTAAGATATTAGGCAATTACGAAAAAACAATTGTACAAATCATCATTAAAGGGCAATAACTCTAATAAGTAGTCGTCTGACATATGATAAACAGTAACAAACGACCACCACTGAATTACATGTATTTGGCTATATTTTTTAAGTGCAGCGATAGATATAGCAAATACAATTTCAACGGATGACAAAATTGGCAATGCTGAACACTTGTTATGTCTTGTTTTTGGTATTTACGATGAACTATATGGCTTCTCCACATGCATACGTGTTTTCTTTATAACATTTACATGAAATGAATTGATTTTCATGTTAAGAATACCAATTTTGAAGGATATAAAAATGTGTATGTAATTTATTTGTTGTGATAAAACTCATCAACGATACCAGATTTATAATTAAGTACGTCAGACGCGCGTTTCATCTATATCAAACTCATCAATGCGCTCGAATCAAATCGTTCAAAAGAGCACATTGAAAACAAAAGTTGTTAACAACCCGGAAAAAAATGTGTTTAACTTTGTAGTATTAATTTTGACATTTATTATTGAGTCGACTCTGTTTATGTATAGGTTTACCCGAGCTAGTCTTCCTGTCGTCAACAAAATGCAATGAATCATACTTTACATGTAGGAACTTCGTTTTAGTTCAAATTTTGTTGTTGATATACTGATATTATACAAGTTATAATTTGAAGTGTGAATATTTTTGATACCAGTCAATTACGTCTACTCTAGGTCTTCTGTTTTCTGTCATATGATAAGATTTTCCATTAAATCATTTGTAATTTAATTCAAAACATTGGTATGATGTAAAATTTTATCAAATTATATAATGCTGTATTTAATAATTTCGGTTGAATTTCTGCATAATGAATTGAACGTCTGTAGAACAGGGTTGATGAATGTAGTAGGGTCAATCCAGTTCCACATAGGAACATTTTGTTATACCTAAACCTGTGTCACTTTTAACTATTATGGCCTTCGCCTTAATAAATGTTTAGATATCGGGTTGTGATGAGTCCAGCTAAATGACTTTACATTCTTTTTTTATAATAGCGCGCTATAACGCAGCTATTCTTAATGTAGAGGTTGGTAAAGCGATTATAAACGTGTTTATTCCTTCTATATACTTTAAATGCCTAATCCAGAGGTTGTCGATCGTGATATTTTTTTTTTTTTAATTGTTATTAGCCTAAATTAGATTTCACTGTTGTTTTGTTTGAAGTATTGTTGTCCAGGATCCTTTATATTTTCTAAGGTTTTATCAAAGAACGTCTCGTCCTTTTTCTTAAAAAGGTTCATTGGAAGATACCAAGAACTTGTTGTTAAATATTCCGTATCAACTTCACAAATAATACATGATGGTCTTGTAGTGTAGATTTAAGGTACTTATGTTGTTTTTCATCTTAATTACTTTTAGTGGTCTTTTTTTATTTGTTCTTGTACATTTTTAACCTTTACTGTTTAGTCCATTGTTGTCAATATAATGGAATTTTATGCAGCTGTCATACAAGTGAGAGGTTTAGCTAGCTATAAAACTAATTTGAATCCACCATTTTCTACATAAGGAAATGCCTGTACCAAGTCAGAAATATGACAGCTGTTTTTTATTGGTTTGATGTGTTTGAGCTTTTGATTTTGCAATTCTATAAAAAAAAACTTTTCGTTTTGAATTTCCCTTGGTATTTTTGTTCATTGTAAAAGGCCGTACGATGACTGTTATTTATCAACATTATTGTCCTTTTAGTCTTTTGATTGAGATTGGCAATCCTACGACACCATTTATTTTTATTTTTTCATATTTTGCTCGATATCTTTTATTATGATTCAGAAGCTATCATTTCCTCCCAATTGTAGTTTAGAATTAAATTTTAAAATATCCCTGCCTTTTCTTAAAATATGCCACTAAACATTTTTATTTTTTTAAATTCTAATCTGCGTCTTTATTATATCAAAGATTGGAATCATATGTCTTGACACCAACAGGAAAATAAAACGAATCGCATGAGTATTTTGTACCTCCCAAAAAATAACGATGATTTATGAATGATAATACCATATTAATTTGGATGGAATATGCAATTTTAAAGAAGGAAACATATGATATTCGAATATAACGAAAAATGGTGGTATATAGTATAGGGTTAATTTCATACTCATCAATGCAAAGTTTGTCTGATCTTTTCGGCTGGACACGTGAGACATGTATTGGTCATTTGCCTAATAAAATATTTGATAGTGCTATGTATCTAATTGTGCACCATGATCTGCGTAAATCTAACCTTTGGCAAGGCCAAAACTGTGCATCCTAGATATAATACGTAAGAGATCGATACATATGTCATGTTATAATCCGATATACATTTAGTTTACTGTCTTAACATAGCCATTAATTTAGAAAACACATGTGCTTTATTTATCTCACTTAACTATAAACTATAAAATTCTAATGGCTCAACACAATATGTAGATTATTTCATACAAAGTTTATGTCACAATATTGCACCTAGCTTTGATTTCAACTGTTCACGTGTAAATTTACCTTTTGAGTAAATATCAACCCACTTCTTTCCAAAAGGTGCTTTCAATTCTCATTTCATATTTCTATAATAATTCTATATTTTTTTTTCTTTTGGGTACTCTGCTTTAATTATTTATTATTTCTTTTTAGGACAAAGAGATATTTCTCTGAAAAAAACTATTTAGCTTTTTAGATAAGAGATACATGTAGATGAAACCACATCAAATATGCAAATTTGGAATACGAAATTGAAAATCCAGGAAACCTGTTGTGGCTAATTGTCTCATTGATAATCATAACACACCCTATTTTGTATAACAATACATGAACAAAACAAATAAAAGGACCTTATCATGTGTTAACGCAAACACAAAAATAATTGAATAATGATATTGAATTGAAAAATGAAAAAAAAAAACAACACTGTAAAAGCGATAAAAAAAAATTATAGCTTTTCTCGAAATGCAATCTCAATAAATCCATGAGTAATAACAGATTATAAGAGAAAGAACATCGTGCTTTAACAGCAACAACCGCTTTAATTTACTAAGGTCAAATGCTTATTTGCATCATCATATGTTGGATTCCTTTACTTCAGGCAAAATCCCTATCTGAATTCCATAGATTTTGCATTAATCAAATACAAGGTTCGTTTATTTCTAATACTATGGGTACTACCTAAGTAGTCTGTATCTCTTTCGGTTTGTTTCTAAAATTGACATATTAAAGATAATACAAAAGTAAGCAAACCACTTTTTTATAGTAAAATAAATGCACTTTTTCCCACAACGATGTTCGGCATACATATTTGTTGAGACCATGTAATATCTATCACGATAAAGTTTGAATAATTGGAATTTCTTACCTGACTTTCCGACACCTTGTATTCCTAGAATAAGAATATTTACATCCTTATGACTGTGCTTTTGAAGTTTTTCCTCAGCTGCAGGTTTTGGATCTTTGAGGAACGGCATATCAGAAATTAATATTTAAATTATTCCTTTACTTTATGAATATACATACAATAAGTTTACGTTACTGTACCACCACAAATTGAAAGAAAGCACAATGAATGTAAAGGTTACATTGCGTAAAGAATCGTGTTCTGCTAACTTGTTTGACTAGCTTAATTTTGTTCCATTAAATTGTTTGCTGTACAAATAGAACGGCTTATGTATCTTTATAACAGTAGCCGTACAGTATACTATGATATCAGAAGAACAGACGGATTAAATACTCTATGTTATTCACATGCTTACATTACACAGACGTATTACTTATACTTTAAAAGTTTTGCCGAACGTCAAGATGTCTAATTAGACAACTGTTTTCTTAAGGAACCAGAGTTATGAAACGTTTCATATATCCGCTCCTCTTGTTAACTATTGTGATATTGAAAGCATTTAATCTTTCCATAACAAAACGAATATATATATAAACATAAGAGTAAAATATTCACTGAAGTGTTTCCTTTCTCACTCCTTTCTAATTGTATTCATTAATTACAAATACAAGTTATTATATTCCGTTTAAATTTTATGCAAAATCATTACAGCTAAATTTGAAGTACACAGTTTCTTTGCGTTTACAAGTAGTGTAGGTCAAACGTACAACGTTATATAATACGCATCATTAAGTTTTTCAAATGCGTATTTCAAATTATTTCCCATAATAAGTGATACTTTAACAGACAAACACTCTGTGTGCATTTCCCTTTGAAATTTCCCATAAAGATTAAAGCATATAATAGATCAATTAAAAAAAAATTATAAAAATTATATATCACAAGAATAAAGTATATAAATATACTGATAAGTAAAATATCCCTGTAAACTACGTAACAACCTTTGCTCTCGTCCTTAGACGAATAGTAAGTTGTTGACTGCTTTTTGAAGATGGTTTTTTGAAGAACGAATTATACGAAAACCATTGAAATAATCCCGACTTCACGTTGTATCTTTGTTGCATACTTTTAGCTTTTCAACTGTTTCGGTTCTTATACATCCTTGGCTTGCACTCATTTGACCTTAAATCGAGAAAGCGCTTCGGATCCATGAAACTTATTAACTGTTGTTTTTTTTTTTGTTTTTTTTTAGATAAACACGTTAACACTTTCATCAATTTATAATTTTCTCAAGTTGTACAAGCTGTATTTGTATTATTATGGTCTTGTTGTATTATGAGGATTAAAGATGTAGTAGTACACAATTACAAGATACCAAAACTCATGGCATGCACAATAAACGAATATAGAGCATATACAATTAATGAATAACTATTCTATTTGATGAGTTTTCAGTGTCAATTATGGATTTGACGGTCGCAAATACAGTTTTACAAACCACGCGGAGCGGAGTCAGTAAATTGTATATTTCCGACCTTCAAATCCAATTGACGGTGGCAACTTTTTAAATACAATACTGTTATTCCTATTATACAGCAATACTCGTACAATACTCAGGATAATAATCTTGAAATAGTCCAGAAACGTCGAGTACATTTGCGCAACCTTGTTGTGTCAGACGTAACCCAATGCAAATGTGGATTTCAGTGAATATTGTATAAGAATTTCTGAATTTGCAATTGGGTAATTTCTATAATCAATGGTGTCACTTCGTTAAATGGGTACGAAGCGCAAAAAAATCTAAACTAAGTCGTCTTTTCTTTGTCAAATATATGCGTAAGGTTTGCAGTTTTTTAAGACCGTATATCGTTGCACAAACCATTAATATACAGTTAATATATGTATATTCAAAAAGCGATGTAAACGCACTAAAGTTCATTTTATTTAGAATGGATTTTTTATTCTTTTTACAACTTCCTCGAATAAGAATATTAACATCTTTATGACTGTGCTTCTGAAGCTTTTCAGTAATTGCAGGTTTTGGATCTTTATATCTCCTAAACAAATATCAGCATTTTTTAAAATTTATACATGCAAAAACACACTGTATTTATGTTACATTAATTCGGTGAATTGAAACAAAAACACTTGCTCTTCACCTTTATGAATGGCAGGTGATTAGCTTAATCATGTACGATCAATTTGATTGCTATACAAATAAGAGGACTTGTGTATCTAATTATATCAGCAACAGCAGTATATGAGATCAAAGAAGAAAACAAAGGTTAAATGTTGTATATAATTCACGCAATTACGTTACAAAAACGTATTACTTGTACTATAAACGTTTGTTAGATGTCAAAATTATTATCATTTCAAATCAAATGATCGTTTCCTTGCGTAATTAACGTAATAATACGTTTTATGTGTTATTCCCACCTGTTAAATATTGATACATAAAACGGAATGATGTTTGATCAGAATCATTCTCACAATATCAGAGAGATAAATGTGTATACATTAATTTCAGTAATGAATAACACAAAAGTAAGCATATAATTTTTGAAGATTCAATCATATAAAATAAATACATTCATACCAACTTCATTTGGAGCGATATGAGACGACTACATCTTATTTACATATTAGTAATACATAAATATTTTATCTTTTCTCTAGTTCTAAAAAGAGAAATTGATTTTGATCAAACAGGAAAAGTGCCATTATCTCAAAAATGTTCCGATGCAGTAATACTCTCAAAAGATGTTTTGCAGTTATGGATTTAGAATTATATCTTAATTGAGTCTATTATTCTGTCATCAAATTGATACCTTATCACTACTTTTGTAAGGCAATATGAATCGCTGTACTATCTTGTATTTTTCTGGTTTAATTTCCCTTGACCTTGTGTTGATGAATGATAACACGTCTGTGTAAGTGGAATTAAACATTGTCAAAAACATTTAGAAGTAAAGTGGTACAATAAAAAAGGGAAGCTTATCATATTCCGATTATCTTTTTTTCCGATAATGCCTCATTCGAATTAATTATCATACTCAAGTAATACGTGTACAGCTAAATGCTCTCTAGTCACCAATTGACAAGTGAAGCCACTCGTATTGATAAAACATGTGAATAATCACTTACAGATATCACTTATATTTTATATACTAGTACATATATATATATATATATATATATATGTTACAGTAAATGTGTATAATTAGGGATTATGTATTATCACAGAAATATTTAGTGATAATCACTAAGATGTTCAGGAATTATGCATAATTACTAGAAAAAATATTAGGGATTATGCATAGTAACTGGAATGCTGAGAAATGTAATTTATTCTATACAATCATACTTAAACATCTTTATAAACATGAATAATAAAATGGTTTTTTTTTTGTTTTGTTCTGGGTTTTTTTTTGTTGCAACATCCACCTTTAGAAACCTTGTCCTTCACATATTGCATCTGATTTGATCGAATGTCGAAAAGAAACACAATGTTTATTAGAAGGTGCCTAAAAGTGAATCTGCCACCTCAGATAAATTTCTTGTGTAGGACCCGAGAAAAATTCTGCTTCGAAACCAGGAGATATCCTATTCACTCAGTTCACAAACAATGACCATTATACATTTTGGATCTCCCTTTTCTGCGATCAACATGCAGAATCTGTATCAAAACAATACAGCCAATGTTTGTCTCTTTCAAAATTGTGTTCAATCTGTGAAGCAGATGTTCTGTAAGTTGCAGTTGTTTACTAAGTCTTAATTCCTTGTTCATTGGAACATAGAAAACATAAAACAAATATTCAATAACAATCAACGGCAATTTTACAGCAAATTACATGTGCATTTGATATCAAAAATAAAGAGATGTGGTATGATTGCAAATTAGGCAACTATCCACCAAAGTTCAAATGATCAGTTATTTTAGAGGTAAAATATTGAATTAGTAATTGTGTTGTATTCATATTTAATACGTTATTAAAGTGGCGAGAGAAAAGGTTTCAATAAATCAAATGTATAAACAGTTTAACAATTTTCTTTTCAGAGACGTAATGGTAACATCCTCATAAGTTAGTTGTGTTAGATAATTTCATGAAGGCTGTCAAAATCTATCCAAATAAACATCAATGTATGAAAAAAGCAGGTGTGTAAAATGATAAAAATCTAATTCAAAACTTGCATGTACATCTGAAAATGATACATATTCTGCACAAATGTTGTTATTGATTAAGATTATGTTTTGTGATCGTATGTATGGTGTGCATCATAGGTCATACTTGATTGGTTGGTTTGTTTGTTCGTTGGTTGGATGGCTGGCTGATCGACTAATTAAACACATGGGATAGTGTTTCTTGTAACAAGCGAGAAAGAAACAAATGAAATCTTGGACCCCATATTATACATATGCATAATTGATTGATTGATTGATTGGTTGGTTGGTTGGTCTATTATTGAATTGATTGGTGGATTGATTGATTGATTAATTGATTGATTGATTGGCTGATCGGATAATGAAACATGGAATAGGGTCTCTTGGAACGAGCGAAAAAGAAACAAATGAGATCTTGCACCCTGTATTCTACACAAGCGTGATTGATTGATTGGTTGGTTGGTTGATTGATTCATTATTGAGTTGATTGGTTGCTTGATTGATTGATTGATTGTTTGCATGGCACTCTTTCTATATGAGGCATCGGACTTAACGTCCGTATTCTAACCGAAAATGGCTGTGTAAGTATCTAGCCCAAAAAGTTTAACGGACGCCTCAATAAAAAAATGCTAACATCTTCCTTATATGAATATTCTCTTTTTTCTACGGAAAATTGGACTTCATGTTTTATCTATTTGTTGTGTGTGCATTTTGTTTAAACTTGAAGGAAAGCTGAGTAACAATTTGTCTTGGAAGTTTCACTTTTTATATTTGGATACGGATGATTTATTCTAAATTTAGGTCCACGCGCGCGGTGCAGTCTGTGAAATCAAGTGACACTCGAATATATATATGTCTGGAGTAAGAATATTAATACCTTTTCAGGAGAGACCGTTGAACGGAGCACATGTGTATTGATAACAGTAACACGAAAACAATTGATTTTATTTTTTACAGGCCATTGATGTCTGATCATGCATGCTTTTTTCGTACACATATTTACGGGATCACACATTTGAATTTTAATGCATGTTCAGAAATTTGATTGTGTGATTTCACTAATAATTTCTAACTTGGGAGCGATTTCTGTGTCATTGATTTTAATTTTCTCAATCCAGGTCAGGTCGTCAAGCGGACCGCACGTGTATTTATATTGCTAACGGAAATATACTTCCTTGATTCATTTTACAGTTAAACTATTGTATAATCGCTTATCACGAGTCTTCGTTCATTGCAAGCACACACAAATAATGCTGTTGCTATAGTACTTTAACAAAACGTTGATTGATTAATTTCAGAAAATACACGAATTTGAGCAGATTTTTGCAGGAATAGATTTCTATTTCAGAAGTTTGTACATAAGAAGGATTGCTTTTTTACAGTAGAATGTACGGGACTGAAGTCGATTTTCTTTTCCTAGAAATGGGATAACTAAAAAAACTAGTTTGAAAAAGGGGGGGGGGGGGGGGGTGTAGTGGTAGACTTTTGGTTGATAATTGAGATAAGATACAATTACAACATGATAGCTGAAAAGTTTGCAGTTTCAATTAGCAATTTATTGATTTGACCATTTCAGGGGCATTGGTCCT